AGCTTTATACTTCACTCATGTTCTAATATCCGTGTAAAATCCTTCACATGCGCAAAAATGTTTGTTTGGGCACAGCACGCTGATTTTACAGCGGACCTTTTTAAAATAAACATTGTAACTTTTATGTTTGGTTGACTGCATTTTAGTTTTATGATGAATGACTGAAATGTCAGGCAACGATAGAACTAATGTTGTTTGTGTGTGCGTGAGGCGCCTGTGCGATCAGATGGATTTAATCAAATAAAGACAATTCAATTCCAAGTGTATTTGTATAGCGCTTTTCACGATACAAATTGTTGAAAGCAACTTTACAGAAAATTATGTTTCTACAATATTTGTCAGTTAATGTAGCTACATATGGCAGAAATGTACAGAAAAATCAATTAAAGACGTAATCAACCAGACGATGAAAAGACATAAAGAAAATAAATAAAATGCATTAAGAGTGTAACAAAAAAAAGAGCGTAGCCTATACTTGTTGCACAGTGTTTTTTTCCCCCCTTTTGTTAATCTGTTAATTATATTATAGCCGATTGAATCCTCATGTTCTTGTTTACGCTGCTGCTATTCACGCATATAAAGCTAAAGTCCTGTATAAAACCAAAAAAAGACATTCTAATCTTACTGGTTAACGATCGACTAATGAGCTTCATTTGACGGTCAGGAAAATAAAAATGAACAAAATGCTGTCATTCTAGAGTTCTCCACGATATTAACTACGCTGCGCGCAAGTTCAGGTAACTCAAAAACTTGCGTACACGAGCTGAGACCAGACGTGAGATTTGATCGTAGCCACCGCTCACGTCCATATTGATAAATTCCAAGTTTTGCATTGAAACGACCGTACGCCCAATTTTCTGTCGTACGTTCGTTTCGTAAATGAGGCCCATTGTGTATAATCAGACTTATTCCCAAAGAAATTTTGCCAATGTGATCTGATTGGCTCAGTAAGCCAAACATTTTTTTGAATAAGATTAATTGGTAAGACAAAAAATATTTGAATAAGATTAAATATATAAATCATAGTAACCTGAAAAATATGTACTTTGAATGTCTAAATAAAATTGTATTACATCATTTTACATAAAACTCTATTTGGTTCTTGCGCTAATAAAGTTCAGTTGAGTTCTCTTTTGCATCTTCTTGCACTTGAACAAACAAATACACACATTACTGTATGTCTCATTCATTCTCTCATTCATTCATTCATTCATTCATTCATTCATTCATTCATTCATTCAAACGACTGATACATTCAGGAATGAATGGGCCATTGAATCATTGGTTCACCCAATTCATTCAAAACGTGGATTCATTCAGAAATTGTGTGTTGCTTGAAGCACAACAGTTCTGCTGTGGCTTTAATAGGTAATATTTGTGTTAGCAAAACTGAGCAAAAACAGACAATATTGTGTCTAAAATATAACACAATATTAAGTTCTTATTTATTGAACTGTTATGTAAAATATTACATGTGCACAGTTGTGCTATTTGGGACAAAAACAGCACTCATGTGACACTGCACTCGTTGCTCATGTGATATTGCTTAACTATATCATATGATATAAATATGAGACAAAAACTCCCAATATCTTGAATTAATTTTTCCCCAATATCTTGAATTTTAGGGCATAT